TTTCTTCATCTATCCCACACCATTATTCACTGCAAAGCGTGCGAGGGAACCTGGGATGATAGGTAACCACGGAACTACAGTTCTGCTTTCTTCATGAATAATGCATGTATCTTCATTGTATCACTGAAAACTCCCGACCATGTATCCTTCTAGCAAATAACTAGATAATAAGTCCTTTGATGCGCAACTCAGGTTTTTTGATAAAAAAACTATATCCACAGATGATGATAGCTCTGGAATGGATAATCTTTTTAAGAGAACCATGCCATGGCTTGGTGAGGAGATATGCAAGAAAGATATGAATACTCAGAACAGCATAGTGCCTGGTCTAAACTTAGCTCAGTCACTTCAGTGGATGAATATGCAGCAGAACTTGTCACTAGCTGGCACAGTTATGCAACCAGAGTTGCTAAACTCATTAGCTGGCAAACATGTGCAAAATTTGTCCGCAGCTGATATATCAAGGCAAATCAGCTTTCAGCCCCAATTCCTGCAACAAAATAACATCCAGTTCAACACCTCGTTACTACCTCAGCAAAACCAACAGGCTGAACAGTTAGCGAAAGCTATAGCTACACCAAACCAACTGGGAAATATTATGGTACTACAGAAGGTAGATCAAAATTGCAATTCTGGCCAGAAGCAGCATACAGTTACTCAATCAGTGCAAGGCAGCCAGGCAAACTTGAACGTCACACAGCCTGAACATGTTGCCCAAGCTCAGTTCCAGCAACCTCGAGTTATTCTCCAGGCTCAACTCCAGCAACAGCAACCTCTGGTCCAGAGTCATACCGTCTTTCAGGGAGGCCTTCAGCAAATCCAGGTCCTGCAGCAACAGCAACCACATTTGCAGCAACAACCTCAACATCATCAGCAGGTTCAGCACTCAGTACAGGAGCAGCAACAAATGAAGATACAACCTGTTCACGTGTCCAGTGATGCGAACATGAATACACAACTATCTGATCATCAAATGAAACTTCAATTATTAAAGGCTCTACATTCACAGCAACATCTGACCATGGAGCAGCAGAAAATGCTTTTTGATTTGCAGCAACAAGTGGTAAATTCTCAGTCAGATCCTCAGCAATGTGTGCAAGGAGCTACCCAAACTGTTGGCTTTCACAACAGCAACACCATCCAGTATGCAGCGCAGCAAAAGGCCCAGTCTCACCAACCGATTGAAGATTCGCCTAGGGGTACCATTCCTGTTGCAAAATCAGATATTGTTACCTCCATGGGTGCTAGCTCTTTGAATGTGGCTGGCCGAATGCAGTCAGTGAGGACAGATAATGTTCCGTCTTCGTCAACATCACCATCCACTACCACTAATCATGTTCTTTTGCAGTCCATCCCAAGTAGCTCCAAGAACCAGAGTTTACCAACTGCAGCAAAAACATCTCAATCATCTGTTGTCTTGGGCCCTACAATTGAACAGGAAATGAAGTCTTACCAGAGTGTGAAGCCAACAATAATGATTCCCAAGATGATTGAACAAGGGCCAGCTACTGAACGAGACTACATAACCAACCCCCACATGGATTACTTGGATACGTCCTCCTCAGCTACTTCGGTTTGCCTTTCTCAGGCTGATGGATCATTGCAACAAAACTTTCCATCTTCATCCTTCGATCAGCATCAGCTGTTGAGGGACACAGCTCCAGATAGTGAGTTTGAGATTTCAGATCCAACAAATAACCTTCTATTTGGGGTGAACATTGATGGTCAACTGGGCTTACCACTTAATGCAGATGCCTTGCTTGCAAATAGCATTGAAAATGATAAATTCATGGATGAGATGGCTGGAAATGGCATTTCTAACTACATTTCATCTAAGGATTCTCAACAAGAGTTATCATCTTCAATGATTTCACATTCACTTGGAGTTGCTGACATGGGATTCAATTCTATAGATTCTGCAATCAATGATCCCCCATTCTTAAATAGAAATTCCAGGGCACCGGCTCCTGCACATCAACGCATGCGAACTTACACCAAGGTTTGTTATTTTTGCTCCAGTGTGTCATTTTACAGTTCACATCAGGATTTTTCCGAGATAATCGAAGCCAACAGATGAATGGCAAGCCACATAGAGAAACAAGAGATTAAAAAAGTCACATAGTCTGTTACACAATAGCCACCCAAATTGGTCATAAATCCCCTGGCTATCAACTCCAGCCTCATGGCGCCCGTAGTCATAGGCTCTTGCACACCACAAGAATACTTCGTTATAGATAAGAAACGAACTATTTCACCTTGTAGAATGTAACTAATTACATACTCCCTCTGTTCCAAAATAGATGACCCAACTTTGTACTAAAGTTAGTATAAAGTTGGGTCATCTATTTTGGAACGGAGGGAGTATTTATCTCTAGATCTTCCTACCTATATAGAATTTTCCCTGACTAATTTTCTTGCAAAATGATGACCTGAGATTTTATATGCTCACTTTACTGTGCTCAAAAAGTCAATGTTCAAAGTCGTTAACGTTAGAAGAGTTTATCCTTAGGCTCTTATCATATTTCTTTCTGTGTTTCTACTTTCTAGCATTGTTTATATTTACATACGAGTGCACTGTCTCACTCTGCAGTAAGATCATTCCTGACCAAAGTACTATATGCAGGTGCACAAACGTGGTGCTGTAGGGAGATCCATCGACATGAACCGTTATTCAGGGTATGATGAACTGAAGCATGACATTGCGCGGATGTTTGGTATCGAGGGGCAGCTTGGTGACCAAAGTAGAGTTGGCTGGAAACTAGTATATGAAGATCATGAGAAGGATGTTCTACTAGTTGGTGATGACCCATGGGAGTAAGTAAAACTCTATGAGCTTGTTTCTAATTTTTGCATACAAAACTTACTAGCATGACTTTCTGGAAATGTGCAAAACTACTAAAAGATAAAGCTGATGGGTGGCTTTAGGCAATTTGTGTGGACATGACCTTGGGGAATGGGTAGCTATCAACTAACGGTTCATTCACTGGTTGCTAAATTAGCTTGTCGAGTACAATGAAAGGCCTGTGACAGTTTATAACTTCAACTAAATATGTACCTGTAAAAGAAAAAGCAAAGAAACCCTAAAATCAATTTAACACATTCTGCTGCAGTTTGGCTTCAATTTTAATGGCCATTCATTTACTCTCTTTAGTCTGGCTATTGAGCCACTCTGATAAACAAAGCATTGTGTGTGTAGGGATTTTCTGAACTGCGTACGGTGCATCAGGATTCTTTCTCCACAGGAAGAAATGCAAATGAGATTGGTTGGTGACTTCGGAGACGGCTTTCTACCCAACCAGGCCTGCAGCAGCTCAGATGGGGGTCAACCTTGGTAACTGAGATCACATGTATGAATGACCAATGTAGTTTCTGGTGCTGTGGGACCGACATTTTTCTCCTCTCGGTCAGTCTTATGAATACAGATGCTGAGGATGGCAGTTGACGATAATTTAGGCTCCGAAATTCCAAGGTCGAGCGAACATGAATATAAGGAACAATTCATACTTTTTGTCTCTGTTGTAGTCTTGTAGTCCTCATGTTCTGTTGGCCTTGCAATCTACATAGCCAACCCATATTTTCTGCTGCCATGTAGTATATGTCATTGTTGCCTGATGTAACAGTTTGCCACATACTCAGATGTCAACTACTGTAACTTGCTACAGATTCTAAATGAAGAAATCGTATTCTCCCCTTGTTCATGAACTCTGTGGTCTGTGATTGATCTGCGTTTTTTCTCCAAAAAATTCTGGTAATGTTTGATTAATTCAATACAAGAGCTAAGAACATGGGGTATGAGTTAGCTTTGAGTGCTCAACACGGACAATTCCGCGAGGGCTCTCAGGCTAAGATGGCCTTGGTTTGAGTGGAAGGAGCCGTCAAAAATGTGGGTCGGTCTGGGAAACCCCTGTGATGGCAAGGATTACGATCTCTTCTACGACTTCACGACCATCAATGTTGGCAATGGTGCCCGCACACCTTTCTTGGACGCGCCATGGGTGCAAGGCCTAAACCCAGGGACATTGCTCTAATTTATGATGCTTCTGCAAGAAAGAATTGTAAAATCCGGGAGGCTCCGAAGGACGGTTCTTGGATATCTAAAATCAAATTGACCAACTCCTTCTGACTAGCTCATTTCCTCCAATTCCTGCAACTTTGGTCTACCATTCACGACTTCCATCTGCAGCAGGATATTGAGGACGAGATTGTGTGGGTACACACTGTCAGTGGGCAAATTGTGGACTATGTCCCTTGTGCAACGTGAGCAAGAAATGATTGACCACCTTTAATTCAAATGTTGGTTCACCATTTCGGCTTTGAGGCATGATCAAGGAATGGCTTCAGTTCGTAAGCATCGACACCTCCATCTGGCACCAAATCCGAATTGGCCTCTCGGACTCTTTCATTCCCAACAGGAAGGCGATGACGTCTCTTGTATTGCTTACCTCTTGGACCATCTAGAACCTGCGAAATGCACATGTCTTCCGTCACAAAAGTGTTCCACTCTTCGTAATTCTAGCCAACACTAAATGCGAAGCGGCGCTTTGGTCTACCGCAGGGGTCAAGAAGTTGCGTTTGATCATGCCGGGAGAGTAATCCTTTTGTAATATGGGGTTTATTCTAACTCTATAACTCTTTGATCCTCTCTTAATTAATATATGAGGCAAATCTTTTGCCTCGGATTCAAAAAAAAAAAAAAACTAAGCAGGTCATCGAAACAACACACGAAAAGAAAAAATCATATCAACACAACACAAGAAGAAAAATTCAGATTAAAACAACACAAGAATGAAATCAGAACATTAGAGAGAATCTATAAAAAAATATAGGGCATTATTTGTAGGTATAGCCTTCACTTCTTACCGTCTTGACGTCTCGTCCTCTGTTGGCTGTTGCTGTTTGGTCCCGCGATGCATTGAGAGAGGAAAATCCCCACCATTTGCGAGCGCTCGACGTCTCGCCGTCTCCCTCACCTCGCGCCGCCGGAAAGCCCTCGCGGCTCAATGGCGGTGTGCGCGGAGCTGAGCCAGCTGCAGCACATCGAGCCCTCCCGCTTCATCTCCTTCTCCTTCCCCAACCCTCTCCTCCACGATGCCTCCAACCCTTACGGCGACGCCGACGACCACGCGGAGCTCCTCCGGGTGGCCGTCATCGACTCCCCTGCCCCCGCGGCGCCATCCCCGCCCTCCCCGCGGACGGCGGCGATGCTCGTCCCGGCCGGCCGGCACTGCGACTGGATCTTCTCCACCCGCGCCGGGCAGCTCCACCTCCTCCTCTCCTCCCGATCCCAGTGCACAATCTCTCGTCTTATACTCGTCGGCCCAGAGATCCCCGCTCCCTCTCCTCGGGTCGTTCGCTGCGCCGCCGCTCGCCCGGACCCGGATCCTGCTCGCGCGCGGCTCCTCCCGCTCCTCCTGGCCCTCTGCCCCAGGGCTGCGTTTGGCAACGGTGCCATCCCTGACGTCCCGCTGCTCTCCTTCCACGATGACCTCCTTCGGCTTGTTCCTGTCCAGGTTGTCGCCGGTCCTGTCGTCGGCGAGATGCTTGTCGAGGATGTGGCCGTGGACTGCGCTCCTGGCCCGGCCGAGTTGCGCCGGAGGCTGCGTTTCAAGCGCATGCCGTGCCTTATACAGACCCAGGTGCGCCTTGCCCGGCCAATGTCTGCTGCTGCTGCCGCTGCTTCTTCTTCGTTGTTGGAGGCATTGGAGGAGGGGCCTGCTAGTTCGTTACAGCCTGAGGTGGGTGGACCATTAGTCCAGCCTTACCTCCAGGCCATGGTTGCTGGCCTTGCACTCATTGATTCATCGGTGGAGGAGAATGCTCGGTCAGGTTCAAGGCCGAGGTGCCTTTGCGCTGGCGTTGGTGGTGGAGCTCTTCCAATGTCCATCAGAGTGGGACTTGGCTTCGATGTACTGGGCGTTGAGGCTGATTGTGTTGTCCTAGACGTTGCAAGGAACTATTTTGGACTGGTGGAGGATGAGTTCCTTCATGTACGTGTTGGCGATGCTATTCAAATGGTTCAGGATTTTGCACATGGAGATGAGCCTGATTCGAAATTCAGTGCAATTATGGTGGATCTTGACTCCCCTGATGCTATGTGTGGTGTCAGTGCGCCGCCATTGGAGATGACCCATAGAAGCATCCTTCTTGCTGCACGCAGAATTCTACATCATCATGGAGTGCTGGTACTGAATGTAATCCCTCCTGCTGCTGATGCATCCTTCTACAAAGGGCTGATTGATGTTCTTCACCAGGTTTTCTCTGAGTTACACGAAATAGATGTTGGTAATGGTGAAAATTTTGTTCTTGTTGCCAGAGTGTCACCGACTGAAAGCACCCTTCTTGATAGTTCAAGGCTCTTTCGGACGGAATTGAGGAAATTAACTGGGGATTTTTTGGAACTAATAAGAAAAGTTGAAATTCCAAGTTAGTATTGCTGTTTGAAGTCATGACCTAGAGAGAGGCTGTTCCAGACTTATATTTGGGTCTGATATATAGTGCTAAGGTCATGGCTATATTAGAATTTTGACAGCCTGTTTGAGCATTACTACAGAACTGCTGGGTTTGCTTTTGTTATTTTGCTGCTATGCAAACTGAGCATTTGCTGCTGTGCTTTAGATCATATCTGAGTGAGCAATACCTTAACTTCATATTGTCTTCCGAGGCTGAATACTTTAGGAGGAGCGACAATGATGGAAAGTGCGGGGTAAAGAACTCTTGCAAATTCGCTTCAATCCAGGAGCTGTGGAATACCAATTTTTTTGGAAGTTCACGACCAGTTAAAGGTTAATGCCACATGTTGACAAGCTTAGGCAGCGATTCAGGGTGCAACAAGATCAACTAAGTTACATGAGATGCTCTTTATCCTTCATCAACTGATAGGTGCATATGATCATGAAGATTGTTCTGTCCTGCCAACCATTGTACGACAGTAAGTGTTCATCATGACACTAGTAGATATAATTTGAAAATTATTTATGTGCCAGAATCTATTTTTAGCCATTCGCAACTTCGTTTTTCTGTACATTCCGACGAGCAGTAATTTTGTTTTACTGTGAAGAAGAATTATGGTGTAGTGATTTAGCTCAAAGCAGAATACATCAAATGACATCACTACTTAATTACATATTCAGTTGTTTCAAATTTAGCCTTGTTATTAGATTATCATATTATACGTCAATTGGCTTTTATGGGGTATAAAAATGCTCTTTAAATACGCTTTTAAGGTTGCCTTGTTCAGTAAACTTGTCTACAGCGTGGTTAATCTATAGCATATACAATTGAGCTCTCCTTTCCCCCTATTTGCTTTTAGGTTGGAATTGATGTCAGTTTGGTTTGAACGAGAAAAAGAGTGGTTACCAATTATTTAGCTGGGCAGGAATCTTTCTGTTTACCTAGATGGTGGGGTCAACTTTATTCGATCAAGCTTCTTGGATGAGCAGCATCCATATGTTTATCTGCTGTGATGTGTACAGCAATTAAACGACGAATCTTTAGCGGAAGAAATGCCAAAATGCGAGCAAATGATTTCATCAGTTGGAGAGAGTTCATACGCAGATGTTTGAGTGGAGTACTCTACCGTTGAACATGCCTAGTGGCCTGAATATTTCAACCAGTTCACCAAGGATGTGTTCACGACGTCTCAGACCTCCATTGGTTTGGATGAATATTATAGAAAAAATTCCTTTGGAATCCTTTGGTTTGTAGGAATGAATTCCTATTTCTACGGAGGAATTCTCCCTACCCTTCATATTTCAAATATTTAAGACTTGATGGAAAAATTCCTATGATATGAACCAAAGGATTTCTCTTTTTCTATTTCTATTCATAGGATTTGAGATGCATGAAATCTCATTTACAAGTTTCTTAGAGCATCTCCAGCCTCGTCCCCAACACGCCCCCTCCCTCCCCTTTCATTTTCTACAAGTTTCTTAGAGCATCTCCAGCCTCGCCCCCAACACGCCCCCTCCCTCCCCCTCTAGGTGATTTTTTTGCGCCGGCGCTGAAAAATCGGCCCAGTCGCGCCTCCAGGAACCTGTTTTCGCCGGTTTGGGCCGAAATTAGCACCGACAGACCCAGGCCGAACCCGGCCTGCTAGGGGGCGCTGGGGCGAGCGATTTTGGCACGAACTAACTGCGGGCCTGCCGAGTCAGCGACACTCGCCTCGTCGTCTTCATAACGCCTCGGTTTCCTACGGGGAATCAATGCCAAGGCTGCCGCCAGTCAACCTTCCATTGATTCCTCATGGGCGGCGCGGCGACACCCTCCCTCCCGCCACGCGTACACACGGCGCCGGGCGGCTATAAAATCAACGCCTCCCCCTCACCTCTGGCCACACCCCGACGTGCTCTGCCTCTCTCTTCCCGTGCACAGCCGCCGCCGACGATCCTCCCCTCTCTCACCCAAGCCCAGCCGCGACGATGGTCGAGCGATTCCCCGGCGATGCGGCGGTGGCCAACGGCTTCGGCCGCCGCTCGCTACACGGGTGGGAGGCGTATTTGCTCTTCGAGGCCAACATCCCGGCGCCTCCTGACATGCGCGCAGGGCCGGGCGGGTGGAGGCTCAGCGCTAGTGGCGTCCCATTCCCCCGCTGCCCGACGTCAACGCGCGCGCCGACTACTTTGCCGATGAGGTCGACCGCATGCGGGCGTCGCTGACGAAGGAGCAGTGCGCCCTCCCGCAGTACGCCGCCGACAACCACGAGGCGTGGGCGGCGTACTTCCAGCACCGGCAGGCGCAGCGGCTGGCCTCCACCAACGGGGCGCCGGTGGTGGGGGGCACCAAGAACAGCGAGGGGCGTCGCCTGTGGTGAGGCGCCCTTGGCTGCACGCTCCACGAGGTTCTCCGGCACCTCGAGGGCGGCAACGACCCGCTGCTGACATACCCTGCCGCGGCCGCCGCCCCGGTCCCCCGCCGGAGCGTGGGGCAATGGATGCCCAGGAGGTTCGGCTCCTCCTCATCATCCTCCTGCCGCTCCTCCTACCGCTCCTCTTCCCACTCCTCCGGCTCGCCGGCAGTGTTCGGCGTCAAGGCCGAGCCCGCAACGGAGACGCCGCTCGGCCGATGCACCCGCAGCGCCGACATCGTCATCAACGAGGGCGGCGTGCGCGCCTCCTCCTCGGCTCCTCCCTGCTACGTCAAGCCGAAGATGGAGCCGGGGCTCGCCGGCGGCGTGAAGGAGGAGCTTGACGACGCGGTGGCCTTGAAGTGGGCGCGCGAAGACTGGGCACAGACGGAGCTGGAGCGCCAGTGTCGCGCCTACGAGCAGTTCGCCGCTCGGCAATGCGACCGCGACGAGGGAGGCGTCGTCGTCCTCGACGATGATGCGCCGCCGCCACCGGTCCGCCAGGGTGACGCCGGGCAGGGGTCCAGCAGGAGCGGCCGCTGAAGGAGGAGTAGGACGACAAGGACGACGACGATGATGGCAACGACGTCGGCGACTTCGCCGCGCTTAGCGCGTTCTTCGGCTCATAGTTGTAGCTGTGGCCTTTTTTTAAAAGTACTTCACTTTGCTATGTAAAAATCTATGAGGTCGCCTAAGTAATGTCATGTTCGCCGAATTTTAACCGAATATTTGTCCCGTTTTCCGAACTTTAGCGGAATTCCTTTAAAAAAACCTTTTGGGGGCGACCCTGGGTCCGGCGGCTAGGAACCCGTAAGCCCCAAGTCGATTTTAGCGCTAGTTCGTCCCCAGGCGGCGCTTTTACGCGCCCCCTGGGGGGCCAACGGCTGAAGATGCTCTTATTTCTATAATACTCCTATTCTATGAACCAAAGGAGGCCTTACATGTTGTAGATTTTGTCAGAATCCAATATGTCGCGACTATTGCTTTTTCTCCGTTCGTACTCCACTGTAGTTTGGTTATTTTGATGATTAAAAAAAACACCAGGTTAAACGATCGTGCGTGAATCAGTTTTGGGTAAGGGAATCTACAACGCCATCCCCAAATCGGATTCACTATCCGCCCCTAAATTGAATTCAATATCGGTCTGTGCACACATATGGGAGCGGGCTATCAAATCTTATCCATCAAATGTTCGCTCTTTTTTTAAGTCCGCAAACAACTAGAGATTTGAGGCAAGGAGATCCTCTATTCCCTACTTATTCTTGTTATGTATAGAGGGGCTGACTGCTCTCTTAGCTCATGTGGAGGAGAATGGAAATATGTCTGGAGTAAAGATTAGCAGAGATGCCCCATCGATTTTGAATATCCTCTTTGCTGATGATTCTTTGATTCTTATGCGAGCCAATACCATGAAATGCGGAGGCCTTGAAATCAGTCTTGGACTCTTATTGTGCCGCCTCGGGGCAGATGGTGAGTGTTGAAAAATCTAGCATCTTTCCTAACCCCAATACAAAAGTGGAATATCCTGTTATTATTAGTGCCAACCTTTCAGAACATGAAGAAGAAAGATTATTGAAAGTTCTAAGGAAGCATCGAGCTGCTATTGGATATACTCTTGATGATTTGAAGGGCATTAGTCTCACTTTATGTCAGCACAAAATTAATATGGAACCTGATGCTAAACCTGTTGTTGATCACCAACATCGGTTAAATCCAAAGATGAAAAAAGTGGTAAGAACGGAAATATTAAAACTTATGGAAGCAGGTATAATCTATCTTATAGCTGATAGTAGATGGTTAAGTCCTGTTCATTGTGTTCCTAAGAAAGGAGGTATAATTGTTGTTCCTAATGATAAGAATGAACTTATTCCACAAAGAATTGTTACAGACTATAGAATGGTAATAGATTTTAGAAAAATAAAGAAAGCAACTAGAAAAGATCATTACCCTTTGCCTTTTATTGATCAAATGCTTGAAAGATTATCTAAGCACACACACTTTTGCTTCCTTGATGGATATTCTGGATTTTCACAAATACCTGTTTCTCAACCTGATCAAGAAAAGGCCATTTTTACTTGTCCTTTTGGAACCTATGCTTATAGACGTATGCCTTTTGGTTTATGTAATGCACCTGCTATCTTTCAAAGATGTATGACTGCTATATTCTCTGACTTTTGTGAAAAGATTATTAAGGTTTTCATGGATGACTTTTCTATTTATGGGAAGTCTTTTGATGATTGTTTAAGCAATATTGATCGAGTTTTGCAGAGGTGTGAACAAACAAATCTTGTCTTGAATTGGTAGAAGTGCCACTTTATGGTTAATGAAGGCATTGTCTTGGGTCATAAAATTTCTGAAAGAAGTATTAAAGTGGACCAAGCTAAGGTTGATGCAATTGAGAAAATGTCATGTCCTAAAGATATAAAAGGTATTCATAGTTTCCTAGGTCATGCTGGTTTTTATAGGAGGTTTATCAAAGACTTCTCTAAAATTTCTAGGCCTCTCACTAGTCTCTTGCAAAAGGATATTCCCTTTGTTTTTGATGATAATTGTTTAGAAGCCTTTGAAACACTCAACAAAGCCTTAATATCTGCACCTATTGTTCAACCACTTGATTGGAACTTGCCTTTTGAAATTACGTGTGATGCTAGTGATTATGCTGTTGGTGCTGTTCTAGGACAAAGAGTTGATAAGAAACTGAATGTTATTCATTATGCTAGTAAAACTCTAGACAGTGCTCAAAGAAACTATGCTATCACTGAAAAAGAATTCTTAGCAGTGGCGTTTGCTTGTGATAAATTTAGACCTTAAATTGTTGATTCCAAAGTAACTGTTCACATAGATCATGCCGCTATTAAATATCTTATGGAAAAGAAAAATGCTAAATCTAGACTTATTTGATGGTTTCTCTTGCTAAAAGAATTTGATTTGTATATCATTGCTAGAAAAGGAGCTGAGAACCCAGTAGCTGATAATTTATCTAGGCTTGAAAATGTGCTTGATGACCCACTACCTATTGATGATAGTTTTCCTGTTGAGCAGTTAGCTGCAATAAATGTTTCTCATAGTACTCCTTGGTATGCTGACTATGCTAATTACATTGTTGCTAAATATTTACCACCTAGCTTTACATACCAACAAAAGAAAAAAAATTCTTCTGTGATTTAATACATTATTTTTGGGATTACCCACATCTTTATAAACAAGGAGTAGATGGTATTATTAGACATTGTGTACCTGAGCATGAATAGGGACAGATCCTACGAAAATGTCACTCCGAAGCTTATGGAGGGCATCATGCTGGAGATAGAACTGCTCATAAGGTATTGTAGTCTGGATTTTATTGGCCTACTCTTTTCAAGGCCGCCCATAAGTTCATCTTATCTTGTGATGAATGTCAAAGAATAGGTAATATCGGTAAGCGTCAAGAAATGCCTATGAATTATTCACTTGCTGTTGAACCATTTGATGTTTGGGATTTGATTACATGAGACCTTTTCCTTTCTCTAATGGGTATACACATATTTTGGTTGCTGTTGATTATGTTACTAAATGGGCAGAAGTTATTCCAACCAGTAGTGTTGATCACAACACCTCTATTAAAATGCTTAAGGAAGTTATTTTCCCAAGGTTTGGAGTCCCTAGATATTTAATGACTGATGGTGGTTCACACTTTATTCATGGTGCTTTCCGTAAAATGCTTGCCAAGTATGATGTTAACCATAGAATTGCATCACCATATCACCCTCAGTCTAGTGGTCAAGTTGAACTTAGCAATAGAGAAATATAATTAATTTTGCAAAAGACTGTCAATAGGTCCAGGAAGAATTGGTCTAAGAAACTAGATGATGCACTTTGGGCTTATAAAACAACATATAAAAATCCTAGGTATGTGTCCACTACTGGAATCAGGAATTTTTCCGTCAGTCGTTTCTTTGCCGTCAGCTAGCTGATGGCAAAGAGGATCTTTGCCATTAGCTTGAAAAAACCTGACGGCAAAGAAGCAGCTGAAGGCAAAGAAAGTGTTTGCCATCATCTTCATCTTTGTCGTCCTCTAGCGGACGGAAAGGAGGCAGGGTGGGCCGATAGTGAGGGGAAGCCAACGCCAACTTTCTTTGCCGCCCGTTAGCTGATAGCACAGAAACGTTGCCGTCCGCTAGGAGACGGCAAAGAAAATGGCCGTTCTAACGTCCGTTAGCTAGGCTCTTTGCCGTCAGCTAGCGGACGACAAAGAGCATATCCCTATATGTATCAAAACTCCCTCGCGCCCTGCCCCTCTCTCTCCCTCTCCCCTCATCCCAACCCCGCGCCGCTGCTGAGGGAGTCCCGGATTAGGGGGTCCTCAAACAGCCGGACTATATACTTTGGCCGGACTGTTGGACTATGAAGATACAAGATTGAAGACTTCGTCCCGTGTCCGGATGGGACTCTCCTTTGCGTGGAAGGCAAACTTGGCGATTCGGATATGTAGATCTCCTCCCTTGTAACCGACTCTGTGTAACCCTAGCCCCTCCGGTGTCTATATAAACCGAAGGGTTTTAGTTCGTAGGACAACAACAATCATACCATAAGCTAGCTTCTAGGGTTTAGCCTCTCTGATCTCGTGGTAGATCAACTCCTGTAATACTCATCTCATCAAGATCAATCAAGCAGGAAGTAGGGTATTACCTCCATCGCGAGGGCCCGAACCTGAGTAAACATTGTGTCCCCCGCCTCCTGTTACCATCCACCTTAGACACACAGTTCGGGACCCCCTACCCGAGATCCGCTGGTTTTGACACCGACAGCCGCCCCACCCCGGCCGCGTTGCCGCCCCAGCGGCCCCACCCCGCCCCGCGGCGCCGCTCCGCCCTGCCTCGGCCGCCTCGATAGGCCATGCCGGCCCCGCCCCGGCCG